CAAATGATGGTCTCAGTATTTCTATGAGTGTACATAGGCAGATTCTTGTGGCTCATAGGGGATTTTTTGCTCTGAAATTGAATGAGAAGTGGATTAAGCAGCAGAGGAGCTCTGGGCCGTACGATGTGGAGATTGTTGATTGCGATGACATAGAGGTTTACATTGAGACTCTCGGGTTGATGTATTGTAAGGACATGAGGAAAAAACTCATGAAAGAGAATGTCCTTCGAGTCCTTGGAATTCTTAAGGTAATAATTATAACTGGAGTTATTTGTATCTGTCGATATCTATGTCTATACCTATCTGTAACTTTTGTGTGGATAAGGGGTACTGATTACATCGAATTAAGACAGGAATGAATAAGTATGAATGCTAAGGATGGGATTTTTGAAGTTATTAATGGATGCATTTGAGATCAACTGTGCAAAGAAATGCAAGAGATAAAGTGATTGATGACTGAAATTGATTGAATTGACTTCAGATGATGGAGCTTATGAGACCTTAGAACTGAATGAGAGTCTTGTGTGGTCTGCCATGGTGCATGAGATGTGAATGCGAATTGTTAAGCACTGAAATAGATTATATTGTCGGGGTAATCTGATATAGAATATGATACTAGTGTCTTTTAAGGAGTTTTAAATGATACAAGGGATCTTGACTATTAGAGTATGTAATCTTTTCAAGTTGAAATGATGATGATGTAGGAGTGACACAAATCATCATATATGGCAGTTTTTTTTTTTATAATTTTATTTATGCATTTCAACAATTTTTCCCTGCAAAGGTTGAAAAAGAATTTTGACAGCTATATGTCAACGCTAATTAATCATACCATCCTCTAGTGTTTTAACATTAGTGCATTATTTTGTAGCCATGAGTCCGAGAATTAGAATAAAATTTGAAGTAGATGACCCCTGATTTTATTTATTTATTTTTATATTTTGAGTAGTGTTGAATTGACTGATACCGGATAGCACGGGTTGGCTGAAAATATGTTAAAATTTTTCAAAGATTTGATTGTTTTACGTTTCTCATAATGTAGGTGGAGAAACATACTCCGATAGTATGATTATTCCTCTATACTGGTGAGGATTTGTCAAGGCCATTTACTGTGGTGTCATAACCTTGAAATAATATAGCTTTTTTGCTCTTCTTCCAGAGTTGATAGTGAGTTATCAAATCTTCACTATTATTAGAGCTACAAGTTACAAATTATATGCTCATGTGTGATTACCTACCACATTTTGGTCTAATGTATAATGTATCTTGTGTATTGGTAAACTACACTTAGACATACAAAAGCAGCGAAAGTTGAATAAGTGTTTTGGTACATGAAGCTACTATCCATAATTATGACTATGAGTAGTTGAACTCTGGTTAATGGTCCTAATGTAGGTTTCTGCAGCAATTGGGTTTGATGCGGGTGTGTTGTCTTGTTTGGAGTACTTGGAGGCTACTCCATGGGCCGAAGATGAGGAAGAGAAGGTAGTTTCGCTGTTATTGGAGCTTCGGCTTGAAGGGATTAACCCAGGGGAAGTTCTGAAGAGGGTTTTTCTTGATGTCACATCAGGTGTTGATGATAGGAGTGACAATGAAGTGCTTATCAAGCTATTGCAGGTCATTATCGAAGGAAAAGATGAGAAGGCGAGGAGAGAGATGAAAGTTCTAGTAACCAAGATGTTACGTGAGAACTCATCGCATAATGATTTGAGGAAGGAGTCGTCGTACTCAGCTTGCAATGGGTGTTTGCAGCTGCTCCGCCTTCATTTTCTACAGGCAGCAGAAGCTGACATGCAGAATATTGGTCAAATAGCACGGCAGGCAGATAATTTGCACTGGCGATTAGATATTCTGATTGATAGACAGATTGGTGAGGATTTTTTGAAGACATGGGCGTCTCAGTCTGAATTGTCTAAAGCACATTCTAAAGTACCAGTGATCCATAGATACGAGGTTAGCAGAGTTACAGCTAGGTTGTTTGTTGGAATTGGGAAGGGACAGCTATTGGCATCCAAAGATGCCAGGTGTGCGCTTTTGCAGACATGGTTGGTACCATTTTACAAGGATTTTGGATGGATGAGGAGGGCGTCGAAAGGTCTTGACAAGCATTTAATTGAGGATGGTCTTAGCAACACTACACTGACTTTGCCTCTGGCCTGGCAGCAGGAAATTTTAATGTCATGGTTTGATCGATTTCTAAATTCAGGCGACGATTGTCCCAATATCCAGAGAGGCTTTGAAGTTTGGTGGAGAAGGGTATTCTGGAGGTGTAATGCTGAGCCTGAGAGGCCTCGTCAAATACAGATAATGACTGCCACAATAGAAAACTCGTGAGTTTGACATGCGGTAATGTCGGGTTCATATTCGATTAGTCCAATTGGATAGTATGATTTTCTGTTACATTCTTCCTCTCAAAACTGAATACAGTAGTTCATTTTGGCTGTGAAGTTCCAAAGACGATGACTGATTTGCGAAGTTTAGTTTGACAGAATACATAGAGACCATAGATTTGATGAAACTTCCGGGATAGTGGATTACTTGGCTCCACACTTGTTGCTTAATTTACATAATCTCCATTGTTTACAGCAGCACCAGATCCGGACATCAACTTTGTGTTCTGTAGGTATTCCTGACGTATATTTCTTGAGGTTCGAGTGAAGATGGTGTATGTTAGGAGTTTTAAGCTTACACGTCCTGTTTCTCAGTGTTCTTTATTTTTTCTGAATAGTGATATTCTTTTCTATTGGCTTATTGAAGTATCGATTTTTCAGCCTAAAATACTTGGTTCTGGTGGAAGCGCTTTAGTTCGATTATTAAGGGCTCGTTTGGTAGGACTTGAAAAGTCAGTAGTTACTCCTGTGATTAAGAACTTGATTTTGAATATGTTTAATAATTGTCTGGAAGCGCGTTGTCTTATTATAAGAGCTCGTTTTTCATGAAAGCCTTTTTTCAAAAAATATTAAGTTTTGACAAATGATCCTAAATATGTGATATCTTTCTAGTAAGTTCCATGTTATGTTTTTCGTCGTTGGTTGAATGTTTACTGAAGTGTCTCTTGATCATTACACGGCTAGTTTTTGTATCACAATTTACTACAATTAGTATTTGTAGCTTTTCAAATGTCATTAGTGGTCGCAAAATGAATTGGACTGTCTGAGATCGTAAAATCTCCAACCCGGGCCATGGGCTTCCCTGCCTAGATGCTCGGGTCAGTTTCTGGCACGTTTGGGGCCTAGCCCATTTGACACCATTGATGCAAACTGTTGGGAAATATGTAGAAAA